CCAGTTCCGCTGCCAGTTCCTCCGCCGGCTACGCCGCCCGCTCCCTTACCGGAACCGTAGCCTATTCCTTCTTTAGTCTTGCTGCCGACGTCGTCTCCACCTCCTCCGTCGGCTCCCTTAAGAACGCAGCTCTCGCTGCTGTAGCTGCCAGCGCTGCTGTTCTCACCGCCGCTGCTGACGCCGCTGCCACGGCTTCCCCCGTCGGGCTGGGTACGCGGGTCCTGCTCTCGGGGTTCCCTGCGGGCTTTCCCCACTTTCGGCCCTGCTCCGCTCCCAGGGCTGCCTTTTATTCCTGCCGGGTGGCGTCTCCTGCTGACGTCACCCGGCCCCAGCTGGATATAAGCGCAGCTTACAAATCGCGACGGCGGTTTTCCAGCCCGCGTGTCCCTGCTCCCTCCGGCTTCTGCGTGGGGTAAGTAAGTGTTTACTTCCCCCCTGGTTTTGCCCCGGGGTTTCCTTCTAACCCCAGCGTCCGTGGGACAAAGAGTTTCAATTTTATGGTCAGATAATTGCATTGTGAATCTCCACTGTAACTAAACGTAGGACATGGACTGCAGAATTCTTTTATGGGTTTTAGCACATTAGCTAGATGCCTACAATCCAAATTAGAGATTCTGAGCTAATAACTCTGATTGCTGTTACTGAATAGGGGAAAAAATATTTTTATTCATAAAATTGAGAACACCTTCCATAAAGTTTTAAACAAATATTTTGCAGTATCAAAACATACCTTGTAACAAAAAAACAAACAAAACAAAACAACCACCCCTGCCCCAGTGCTGGGCATTTTAACTTGTGCTGAGCAGGTCTTGGGACCTCCTTGTTTCCATTCTGATTCAGAGATGTTGACTATTAAAACATAAAGAGCAAGTGCTTTAGACTGATACATTGTTCTAAGTGTTTGGGTACTTCATTTTTTGTGCCCAAAATCACAAACTGTTTTTTAAAAAATGTTGACCTGAAGATTTGAATCACATGTATATGCCAGCCTTATTAATGATTTTGAAGTATTGAGATTAAATGTTAGTTGCTTTTCTAAAGTGAAAATTCACATTGTGAACTAAAATATTTTGAGTAAAATATATTAAGTTTTACAGCATGTGCTTTTGTTGTATTACTTGTGAAAACATCGTAAATTAACTTGATACAAAGGTCAGGTACAGGCATTGCACTTTTACTGATATAAGTGATCGGAAACTATCTATACCTTTAACAGAACAGAAGTTTGGCACAGAAAACTGGTCTACATCCATAACAGAACAGAGTTTGGTGCACACAGACTGATTTAAAAATAATGTAACCTGGTCTAAGATTTGAGCTCACCCACCAAAGGATGAATGTGTGTTCTGTTTGCTCCCAATCTAAACTATGCCGCTTACAAAAACTGCATAACTTAGATCGATTCCACCTTAGGCTTTTTGAACATCTGTAACTAGCCTAAGTGTTTATCATTTAGAGACACATATATTCATATTCTGTTTATCTTTTATTCTGCAGACAAAGCCTGTTGCATTTGCGGTTCGGACAAATGTTGGTTACAGCGCAGCTCATGATGATGATGTCCCAGTCCCAGGCATGGCCATATCATTTGAAGCAAAAGATTTTCTTCATGTTAAAGAAGTAAGTAATGATTGCTTTTAAAAGCTGTAGTGACTTTTACATGTTGAATAATAATATTTAATACAAATACACCACAGCATTTTCAAAGCACTGTACAGACTTTATGAGGCTATAACATTAGTATGAGGGTTTTTAGATTATTTGCATATAATGAGGATTACATTTCATCACCTGCATATTCTACTTTCAAATACATAACCTGTGTAAAGAGTAAGATTAGATTCCGTAGTGATTGTTACTGTTGACAGCCTTAAAATAAATCTAGTTATGCAAGTTTGGCAATGTGACATCTTCAGGGATTTGTTGTTCTTGTGACTTAACGTCAAAATATTCTTTTTTCCCCTACATTAACTCAATATATTTAAATCCATTATATTACACAATATACACATATATACAGTTATAAAGAATTATACATTGAATAAACAATATTATAACTATCAAAATATAGAGACTAGTTTTCCAAAAGATAACAAATCTACCTTATTATTATTCTATCCTTTCCTATCACTTTCCTTGGAAAATTTTCAACAGGCACAAAGAAAATTCCATGCTCATTTATATCCCTTCTTTCTCCCCCCATTTGCAAGAAAAAATGTGCAAGGTTAAGGTCCAAAGTAAATAATTTTTTAAAATTTTCTCAGGGAAGCCTGGTGGGACTGTCTCCTGTCTCTCTTCTGTATCACATTTCTCATGTTATGTAAAACTTCAGCCCTTGATAAAGAATCTCATGATCTTTTGTCATATGGTGATCCAAGAGCACTCAGAAATGAAGACCTATAGCAGGACACAAGAACTCCACTCACTCTTTGATGCAATAGTTTTATTAAGCAAATTCCCATTTACTGGGGCTGCAGGACTGACAAGCCTTATTAATAATTCTGTAGTATTGAGATTAAAGGTTAGTTATTTTTCTAAAGTGAAAAATTCACATTATGAACTAAAATATAAGTGAAAGATGTAATATGGGGTGGCCAAACTGTGGCATGCATGCTGCAAGTGTCACAGGCAGCCTTTATGTGTAGCATGTTGTAGATCAGGGAGGGGTCAGGCAGCACAGTGGCAGAAAGGTCAGGAAGTAGAAAAAAGACTAACAGCTCAGGCAGGGAGCACAGGGCAGGAAGCAGAATGCAGAGCAGCAGATTGGGCAGGGGAAGGAGATCAGAGTGATACTCGGGGAAAGTACTGGGCTAGTTCATGGCATGGCTGCCAAAACGGTCAGCCCCCACTGATGTAGTGTTTTGTTGCTATTATCTAATGAATTTGTCTGTTCAGGCAATATTTGCAGAATAGTTTCTGCAGACTCATGGTCAACTGTTTAACTGATCTGCCTCTTGTGCAGTTTTTCATGAACTACGAATGAGGCAGACGGGTTAGGAAGTCAGCATAAAAAGATTAGAGCAGCACATCTAAATTGTTGTAAAAACATCCATACCCTCTTTTAGATGATCCAGATTTTGGCCTCTGTAGAAACAAGGAACTTGGTTGTTATTAATGATAGGACCCATGATGTGGGTGAGTGCTTTCCAGACATCAAGGGACATTCATGCCCCAAGAACTCAAAATATAGGGGTAGACAAACAGGTATGGAGTTTATAGGAAGGAGACCGAGACCAAGAATTGTTGGTCCATTTTACATTGGTGATTAGAAACTGAGATTTCTATGCAAATGAACTTCACAGAAAAAAGAATAATTTGGATTCATATTGTATGGAGTAAATAAAAAAAACATTCTTGCCTGAATATCTGGGGGGATTCTATATCCTATTTCAGGTGATACATGAAACCTGTATTAAGAATTTTGAGAAACAGAATAATAACAATTCTAGTCTATCAGTATTCTTCATATGCATCTATCAATTGGTTGCTCAAGTAAACAGTGTAGAACAGTATTTCAAATCCAGTTTTAATTGATTTTGGGTAAATCTGGAAAGGCTTAAAAGTTTGATAAGCTAGACTTTGGTTGCATTTCTGTCCTGTCCACAACAGCTGGTATATCAGTGCAATGAAGTCACCAGCAGGGCAAACAGAACTCTGGCATGCATCAGCCGATGTGTTGCCAGTAGATCCAGGGAGGTGCTTCTCCCCCTCTATTCGGCATTGGTGAGACCACAGCTGGAGTACTGTGTCCAGTTCTGGGCACTGCACTTCAAGAAGGATGTGGATAAGCTAGGAAAGGTAAAGAGAAGGGCCATCCATATGATCAGGGGCCTGGAGGATAGGCCCTCCTATCCTCCAGGCCCCTGATCCTCCAGGCCTCCTATCCTCCAGCCTCTCCTGAGGAGAGACTCCGGGAACTGGGTTTCTTCAGTCTGAGTAAGAAAAGTTTGAGAGGTGACTTGATAACCGCCTACAAGTATGTCAGGGGTGAACACCAAGATCTAGGGGAGCAACTCTTCAGAAAGGCGTCCCTGGGGAGGATGAGGTCCAATGGGCACAAGCTAGTTTAGAAAAAATTTAGACTGGACATAAGGAGAAACTTCTTTTCCGTAAGAGTATCTAGAATCTGAAACACACTCCCAGTAGAGGTAGTGCAGTCGCTATCCCTGGAGGTGTTCAAGAGGAGGCTGGACAAATACCTCATTGAGCTCCTTTGACTCCAACTACCTCCTGCCCATGACAGGGGACTGGAGTTGATGATCTTACAGGTCCCTTCCAGTCCTACTATTTTATGATTGTATGATCTTACTGAAGAATGCTGTGTAATGAGATATCCTGTCCCTCCCACTGAAAGTTGTGTCAGAAACACAAGGAATGACTAGTGTTTTTTAGTGTGCTTGGCTTATCACTTTTAGTCCTTGCGTAGCTTTAGGTGCAAAGATACATGAAGATGGAGTCATAACTGTAGGTGTCGTGAGTCTATGCAATAAGCTGCTCAGGCAAGTTGTGGATTGTCTTTCACTGGAGCTTTTCAAGGAGAGGCTGGATAGGAATTTACCTGGGTTGGGTATACTGCATCTTGCATTTGTGCAGACTATCAGACCATGGGACCCTGGATTCTAGTATTTCCCACTGGTGATTCTATGTCCAACTTTTGGACAGCTGAGGACTGGATGCAGCATAGGCCACAAGCCTCGGTGACTGTCCTCCAAACACCCCACCCCACCCCACCCCACACACACTCACACACTCACTAACTCTCACTCTTTCTCCCTCTCTCTCTCTCATCTGCAGTCCAACTGCTCGCTGCCATGTACACAATGTAAGCTCCCTCCTGCCATGCATACAGCATCCCCACCCTCCTCTCAGCTGTGTATGTCATGCAGGCAGTGCATCTGCAGTCTACAACGTGGGCAGCCCAGCTCCTCCCCTGCAGCACACACAGCACAGACACCCCACACTGCTGTACTGACCCACCCCCAGGAACAGGGGCAGGAGTCAGAATCTAGAGGAGGGAGAGAGAACTGGGAGACCTCAGCCTCCTCCCCACGAGAGCAGTGGCCAGTGTGGCAGTCAGGCAGGACCGCATGGGCCACATGTTAACCCCTCAAGGGGCTGCATGCTGTCAGTGGGTCACCAGTTGGACTGCCCTGATACAAGACAAAAGATAATGGGTAGAGAAACATTTCTGAACATATCCCCAAATACGAGTTTAGCCTGGAACGCTCAATTCACTCATCATTTTCTGTGCAAACCTGTGTAGCACTGAGGAGGTAAAAAAATGATATAATGAAGTTTATGCAACTTGAGAGGTAATGGAATACATACTGACAGCTGGTCGTCTTTAAAAGCGTTCCAGTTTTGTCTTAATAAGTCAGATAATGTTCCCTCAGCATTTGTGGTGTTTCCTATTCTTAAACGAAGAAATACTTACAATATTAAATTATAATGATTTTATCTTGCGAAAGTAAAATGTGGTAATTGTGTGTGACATTTGGTAATGTATTCATTGCTATGTTAAGCTAAGAAAAAATAAAACCTTTGAAGACAGAATATTTAAACAAGTATAAAAGTTAGTCCCCAATAACATTTACGTAGAAAATGTAGCCAGACTGCGTCAGATTATACGTCCTTTCATTCTGGCATCTTGTCTCTGGACTACTTATTTCTAGTGCTACTAAGAAAGGAAATGCTGAATCCCAAATCAGCTTGGTCAGTGGTGTAATACTCTACATTGATTTGATAGATGTATTTGTTACTAAAATCAAGTGGAATTCAGTAAAACTAGCACAAGGAGGACTTTGATCAACCTAAAGCAGGCAGGACCTTCCTTATGCTGCACAGCCCTTCCTAGTCTGACCCCTCCTATGCTCCATCTTGAAGACAGATGCACAGGTGAAATTGCCCCATGTGCCTGTTTCCAGGAGGTGTGTGGGAGGGTAAGACCAGAAGGGGCTTCTCCCTGCTTTAGGCTGATCACTGCTCTAATGCAATAGGAGTGTGCACAGGGCATTTTTACCTGGCTGCTGCCACCATAGCAGCAGTACCTACATCACAACACTCCTGATGGAGGCTCACAGCACCTCAGTTGATAACTACTGACATACACAAAAGCACTTCAGAGATGTTCCAGGAGAGTCTGAGCCCTGATGCTCCTGCCTTTCTTCATATTTTTGCACCACCGCAGTTACTAAAGCCCTCTGTCAGTTTTTATAGCAGTGAGATGAGTTGAGTCATAAATTTATCCTACACTTTTTTTTTTATTCCTGTAGCATATTTACTTTAATATTTTGTGACAGTGATTACCATAGGGTAAGGTAGCCAGCAGCCTGCTGTATTACAAGAGCATAATATTGTGTTTATTTTATACCACTTTTCTTGTTATTTAAATGTCATCTTAACATTTGCCTAAAGCATAACCCCCCACCAACAACTCACAGAAGTGACCAGAACTGAAAGTAGTATGGCAAGTGAAGTTGTTTGTCATTGACCTATTGTCATTCTATTCTGAATTTACTTTTAAAAATATCCAGACAACATACTTATTTTTCCAATTGCTTTACATTGAATAACAATACATTAAACAGAACTAAATGCTGTTGGAGGCCCATGCAAAATTTTAAGATGATCAAAATATGTTTCTGATATATTTATTATTACATATATGTATGAGGAATAATCTAGTTTATTGGAATGACTTGTATATGTATATAGTTGCAGCCCATGAACTCAAACAGGCATTCCACAATGTTTCTCAATTGTCTACTCCTGGGGGTATGTTACAATAGCTTGTAATATGATCTATGGATAGCATGGGTAACTGGCAAATCAGGAATAAGGAGGGGAAAAGGAACCAAATTTTAGAGCATAATATTGAGGGAAGGGAGACTGAGGAGTTTGTTGAGTTTTTATTATAAACTCACTGAAACACTATACCCCTTCCAAAATGTCTGTTCCTTAAAAGCAGTGAAATTACCCACAGGCTCAGATAATCCACACCATTTTTAAAACAGTGTTCTTGCAAATGGCTCTGTATCTCCCTTGTTCCACAGTTTCAATCCCTTGTTCCACAATGAGAAAATTTCAACTTCATAAACTTCCATTGTATTACCTACACACCAGTATTATCACTACTGCTGCTGAATTTTAGACTTGTAGGGTGCATCCAGATGAGCGCACACATGCCTCTTGTCCCCTCTCAAACCCCTTTGAGAGGGGGCAAGAGGCACACACGGGAACAAAAAAGTGTTCCCCACACTGCAAGATATCCAGGGGTCTAAAAAAATGAAGTTAAAAAAAGGACCATGCCCTGAGGCAACCAGAGGCTGGGTCCTCCATGGAGATGCTCTGGCTGCCAGAGCATCTCTATGGTTGGCCCTTGCCCTAGTGCTGAACGCGCAGCCCCAGGCTGTGTGTTCAGTACCAGGGCTCCAGTGCCATGAGTAAGGGGTCGGGGAGGCTGGACGAGGGGGGAGGGAACTATGGGG